TTTGACATTTGCTGATGGGCAACAATCCATCCTTAATAAATCTCCAGTCCTTGCCCATGGGGCCTTTCATTCTCTCAACATTCCATTACTTTATATTTTTATATAGTTTTATTTTAATTTTTGGGCTCAATATTAAATGCTTTTTAACCTTTTGCTCAATTGAATGTATATAATTTCATATATGTATATATATACATATATATATATATTAATTTATATACATGTTTATATATAGAGTCATGGTGCATAAAAATTCATGCACTGGAGGGGGTGTCCCTCAGCCTGGCCTGCGCCCTCCCACAGTCTGGGAGCCCTTAGGGGTGGGATATGCCCTGGCAATCAGGGGAAGGCTATGTCCCATCTCACCTTTGTTGCTGCCACTACCAGCAGCATAAGCCTTGACTATTCCTGGGTGGCTGGGCAGCTGCCATCCAAGGCTTGCCTGTGCTTCGGACCACTCCTGGGCGGCTGAAGGGCTGAGGGGACTAGAGGACTGCAGAGGCAGGCGTGAGGAGCCACCCAGGTAAGGCTTAGGGAATTGGGCACGGCCATCTTTTGGCTGTGGATGCCACCATCTTTGAGGACTGGGCAGTCAATTAGCATATTCTCTCCTTATTGACCGTGGGTACCACCATCTTTGCAATGTGATGGTGAATTAGCATATTCCCTCTTTATTAGATAGGTTACATATGTATATATTAGATATAAATGTAGATATTGGAGAGGGGGAGAAAATGAATACTGAAATATAACTCAATAATTTTCCTGAGCCAGGCATATTTTTAGCTGGGTCCATGCTGATTGATAGAGGTTTATTCTAAAATAAAACTTGTTTTATGCAAAGAATGAAATATGGTATGTAGGAGATGAGCATAATAAAACTTTACAGTTCAATCAAGAGTACTTAATACCAACTACTTATAAATTAAAAATCTGATTGGCGCCTGGCTGGTGTGGCTCAGTGGTTGAGCATTGACCTATGAACCAGAAGGTCAGGGTTCAATTACTGGTCAGGGCATATGCCCATGTTTCAGGCTAGATCCCTAGTGTGGGACATGCAAGACACAGCCAATCCATGATTCTTTCATCATTGATGTTTCCATCTCTCTCTCCCTCTCCCTTCCTCTCTGGTACAAATTAAAAAATATATATATATTTTTAATAAAATAAAAACCTGATTGGCTTTCCTTGCCACACAATTTTTATTGACCATAGGAATATTTCTGAAAGTTCTTTACTTCACAATCATGAAGCTGGTTGGCTCTGTATTTGCCACCACTTGAGAGGGTTCAGGGTCTGAAGAACCAACAAGAGCATATTCTGAGGTTTACCCACGTGGTCATCCAGTCTCACTCTGTGGCAGTGCTCTCCTTCGAGTAGTGGCTGCTCCTTAGCACATCCGGGTACACAGGGACTTTGACGCTATGCAAAGAAAAACACCACTAACTTGTTTCCTAAATGGTAGGCTTTATTTCACTGCTCACATACAATTGAATGAGACAAACTATTTACATAACACCTAAGTACAAAAAATATAATACAATTTATACTGTACATAATCGAGATTCCCTATTTTGTCCCAGACAGAGGTGAGGAGGAGGTTAGTATGAAACAAAGATTGCTGCACTGTTAGCAGTACTTTGAATCATTCATCAAACTTGTTTTTTTTTTTTAAAAGATGAATAAGTTTGGGTTATAGGAATTGGCAATTTACCAAGAGCGGTGAATGAACACGGCATTTTCACTTCTGTAGCAACAGCTCATTTCAACTTAGGTTGTTTTCAACGGAGTTAAGGCTGGGAGAATGTGAGTTGGGTAACCCCCTGCCCACCCCTTCCTTCTCTAAATTCCCATAATTGATCCAATGAAATAGGCAATGGGCTCCCTGCCTGGGCTACCACAACTGGTGTCTTCAACTGATTTTTGGAAGCAATGCATCTGTCAAGTGTCATTAAATGACTCTCTTCGGTATCAACCTGGACAGCTCTTAAGGGAGCATTTAAGACCAGTGAATTGATGAACAGGAAAAACAAAACAAAAGTGAAGACCATTGGAAATTTGTATTTCGAATTGAATGTAAGATCTGAAAGAAAAGAGTGGCATGTTCACCGGCCCTGGGAGGAAATACTCAGCAATCCACAAACACTTCAACAAGGCAACCAAATTCCATCTCCTCACTCAACTGAAGGGAAGGCAATGATATCTCATTCTAAAAAAGCTCCACCATGATTCATATATGTGGCCTTTTAAAAAATGAAACAATCTCAAATAAGTTTATTTTGTATCGCAAAACAGCAAAAGCAAATTAACAGATAATGAGGCTTTTCACATTTCATAACATTTTCCAAAGTCACGTCAAATGGCATAACATGTTTTGCTACACACCTTTGGAGAATCCTACACTGGACCAAGTTTATATATTTTCTCTGCTGATGCTCTACATGGTGGTGTTTGATGGTGAATGTAGGTGCTTGGATTAAAGGTTCAGACTCTGCTTTCTTTCAAAGTGCAGAAGTTCATTTGATTTTGGCCAATCGTCATGGTATAGAGCAGTGGTCAGCAAATTCATTAGTCAACAGAGCCAAATATCACAAGTACAAGGATAGAAATTTCTTTTGAGAGCTGAAAACTGACTTCTGCGGATGGGCCATTAAGTTTTAATCGCACTGTACATGTGTACCTGCACGTGGCATTTTGTGGATGAGCCACACTCAAGGGGTCAAAGAGCCTCATGTGGCTCAAGAGCAGCAGTTTGCCGACCACTGGTATAGAGGAAAAGCAATCAACTGTAGTAAATAAAACACCATTAATTTCTTAACCTAAATTAAGAGGGAAAACTTTGTGAACTTGTGAAGCAGTTTTGACAATGACTGGAAGGAAGGAAGGAAGGAAGGAAGGAAGGAAGGAAGGAAGGAAGGAAGGAAGGAAGAAGGGAAGGAAGGAAGGAAGGAATACAGAAAGCATTATTCTAGGTGGTTCTCATTTCACTCACCTTATCTGTGGCAACTGTCAACAGGCAGTGTGTTTTCCTATCTCTATGGACTTGCCTGAAGGACAGTGTCAAATATCTGTATCTTCTCTAGGCATCAGACTAACATTCATACTACAGGGCAAATGCTAAGGCGTTTTCTGGAGGATGTAGGATTTAAGTGATGTCCATTTCTGGAAGCTGAGGCTGCGTCCATCTAAATTCTAAACACACCCTGGTTCCTACTCTGGTGCTCTACCCCAGAGGGGGGTGAAAATCACATCTGAAGATGATGTGCTTCTTAGTCATTTTCTGTTCCAAGAGGCACAGAAGAATGAGTTTCTTCAGAGAACAGCCGATCAAGCATCTGCTTTGAACTGGCACCAATAATATCAGATGGAATAACAAGTCATTTTAAACAAGGCACTGGCAACTTTCTATAGGAAATGAAACTATCTGAACTTGCCAAGGATGGCTAGCAGTGCTCTTTTCTTAGTGGCATGGCTGAATAGCTTGGACTTTCCAGAATCCAGCATTGCTCCGAGCTTGTTATTTATCTAACGTGTGAACCATTTGAATTACTGTTCATCTAATACTTGGATGCGCTGGAATTTCATTGTTAACAAATTGAGGAAGAGCATGATCATGTTTGAAATACTGGCCTCATATTTCTAACTAAATGGTGGAATGAATTTTATTCCCCCACCCCCAAACATTATTGGTTTAAAGAATGCCATCAAGTGGTTTTCTATCTCTACTTTTCCTCTTCCTGGTTCTCAACTGGCTGCTATTATATGCCACAAGGTAACATATTTTCTTAAATGAGAATTGGTTCTGACTCTGGTGCTGAGTTAACAAGCTTGATCACTTTCTCCGGCAGAATCATTATGATCTTCTGAAAATACTATGCTTTCACCAGGAACAGCCTACTGTGTCAAGCTCTGGGTTTGGTGTTAACAATGCATTCCCTTGGCAGAGTAAAACCTTATTTCTGAATGAGAACAGGTCTTTATTTCTGATGCTTCTGTAACATGTACCAACATGAGACCATTGAATAAAACAGAGCCATCTGTGCCAAAAATACATATATATGATGCACCTGTAACATACATCCTTAAAAAAGGGAGTATGGAAATTTCAGCAGTTTTGTTTTTCTCTTTTCTGTAAAATGGTGGTGCACTGTAGATGGTGACTAGTCTGGGCTAGAGAAAGGAATGCTACAGGGAACCACTTCCAAAGAATTTAAATGAGACGAAAGTCATTTCCTAAGGAAAACCAGCCAAACTTTAACTGTATCCAGAAATAACCCTAAAAATTAACCTGTGATTAATGTCAGTTGACATCAGGTTCCTTTAGTGGGATTAAATTGCTTGGTGGAGCATAAAGTATTAATTTATAACTGTGCTTCTTGTAGTAAGAGGAAAAAGGAGAGGAAAGAGAGAACAAAATAAGTCACACAGAAATGAAAAATGTGACAAGTGACCCCAGAGGTTTGGGCAGGAATCCCAAATGTCCCAGCCGAAAGAAGGGCTGCTGTGTGAGGGAGGTCCCAGTAGAAGTGGTAGGCACCTCGGTGAAAACCCACACATGAGGGCTCCTGCCCTGAGGAGAGGTGTGGAGGTGGCACATGAGCAAGAGCTCAACAGTGATAGAAAAACAGCTGGTCACAATGCTTACATTATAGCTGAAATTATCCTAAACCAACTAAAACCTGTTAAGTAAGATGAAAAAGAGAAGAAAGATACAAAGAGAGAGAGAGAGAAGCCAGAAAAGCCAGAATAATTTTCCTTTGAATAGAGTGTCAGGGAACACATATGAGGTGATTTATTTGCAGTGATAAACAAGAAGATTTGTGTAATTAACAACAAGAAAATTCTATTTGTGGATGAAGGGTGTTTTCCCCTATCATTATGCAAGATTGATTAAAGACCTGTTTTGATGTCATTTAGAAAGCATTTCCCTTGAAGTCCAGTGATGCTTTTTTTTGAAATATTAGTTTCCTCTTTCCTCATGGAAATAGAATGACCTTTACAGTTTCGGAAATATGGGGGTGGGGGGTTCAGAATAGCAGATAAGGTGATACACAATGAGATCATTTTTCTTACAGAAGAGTGATGATATGAGTTGAAGAATCCAGAGAACAATTGGGAACCTTTTGGCTGCATCACACCTCTGGAATGTGGACTTTGAGTAGAGAGAGCAACCCTACACCGCATAGAAGGAATACATGGGATGCAGCCTGAACTCCCCATAGCAAAGACCTGGAACACCATTCATTTACAAATCTACCAGGCCTCCCAGAGCCCACCTGGCATTTATATTTTATTTTAAAGCCATTTTTTTGCAAATATGGAATTGTGAGAATATTTCAAATTCAATATTACTGAACATAAGATTTTCCCAACACTTTATGAAACTGTTTCTTCAAATCAGGTAGGGTAAAAAATACACATATGCTAATAAGTCTATGTTCCTCAATGCCCATACTATATAGTTTCACAGATCTGAAGGTTCATTGATCAATAAGAACATATTTCAATGTCCACCCACACCTTTATAGCAATGCCCCGAGGCATTCAATGATGACTTTCAATCTTGTTCCCACTTTCAGTAATTATTCAACCAACTGTCATGTGTTATGCATCAGTTGTTGATGAATAATTTATCCTCTTTTTTTTTTTCCTTACCAAGGACCAGTCTGAATTGTAGAGCACTCTAAAATGCTCAGAACCACAAGGATCATTACAAACCTCATATCCAGATACCCTGATTTCTCAAGGTATATCTTGAAATGTTGTCGCCTCCATGCAAGGAGAAGTGGGAGTTAGTGGATGGGAAGGCAACACTAGATTAAAACCAAAAGGCACCAGAGCTAAATATCTCCCCCTCACCTGACCCGGAGGCAGCAATGACAGCTGGGAATTTGGGGAGCAGTTCACTATGTACAGCAATGGGTGGCAGAGAGCGAGCTTTACATATAATTAATGCTCTTGGTAGGGGCATGTCACCACAATCAGTTCTATCAATACTGGGAAATAAAAGTTGACTTTCAATAAATGTCAGTCTCCTCAATACTGTCCAAAGCATGGAAAATTTTAAAAAGTTGTTTTCAATCATATTTGAGTACTTTCAATACTTTCTTCAGTGTCATCATTAATGTTCAAGATTTTTTCTTTGCAGGAGAGAGGAGGCGTAGAGTCTATCCAAATGCTAAACACATGGTTACTTTACAGACTGGCTCTTCAGGATGTTACAATGGACCAGACAGATGGGCGCTCAGGCCAACGGTGCAGCCGGAAGCTCCCTGGAATGCCATGAAATCCAAAAGTCAGAATAAGGCTAGTTTCACAGCAACCTGCAGAACAATTTCCCCTTCGTCACGTCTGTGCCTCCGCTCCTTTCGTTCACCTCCCCGAGTAGTAATACAGGAAATTCATGAAGACCACGGTGGAATGTCTCAGACCTTCTGTAACTGCCTCTGCAGATGCAAGCCAGGTTGCATCCTGAGCTTCCTCAGGCAAGAATCATTCCACATCCAAACACACAAGTTGCTTCTAAGAATTGTACAGTATTCTCCAGATCGGTAAGATGGAGATCCATGGTGAATCACTGTATGGCCACATTCATATTCTTCATTTTAGCAATACTATGGACTTAAGCACTCTTGCTGTGTGTATATGTGTATGTGTGGTATTCTAGGGGTATTCCCATATAAAGTGAAATATTTTCTTGAATTAAAACATCATGAAGATATATGCTCAAAAGCAAGAAGAGGTTCCTTTTTCTAAAGACTCATTCCAATGTAGGTGGGTGCATTTATTAAAAAGCTCAAGGAAACAATTGAGTTGTTAGAAAAATGGACTGAACACAATAAAATTTTAAAAAAACAAACACAAAAAACACAAAACTCCACACCATGGCTCATTCAACAAGTACTGTAGACCAGATTTTCACATTGTCATATTTAGACTTTTGTTGCTTTTAAGGACATCTATTTTGGGCAGCAATGGGACACTCCTGGCTTGAAATGCACTTGAAATGTATCCAGACTTCATCTCTGAAGTTTCCAAAACATGGGCAGACATGGAGCACAGGCCTTGAGGAACCAGGGAATTACAAGAAGCCAAAAAAATATAAGAGTTATTAGTACTCATCATAATTGTTGAGATCTGTAAAGTAGGCATTAGAATAAGTCTTCCCAGTGAGATGTGGGTTGAAGTATTTGTTTCTCTCCTCTAGGATCAAGTTGTTTTTATTAAATGCCTGCAAAACATAAAAATAAAAGATGTAAGTAATATTTCAGGAAGAGAACATAACTGGGAGATGGTTATGTTGAATTCACACTCTCTCCTAAGGCTCCTTATTGGAAAATGTGTTTCCTCACTTCCCTGCTTCCTCATGCTGTTGGCCTTACCAGGGATTTGCCTCATAACTGGAATGAGGTTGGCAATTTTGACATCTTCCAGCCTATTTTTGAGTTTTAGGCAGGAAGTTCCCCAGAGTTAGAAAACCTATACCTAAACCTCAAGGAAACCTAAAACTCTAGCAGATTCTAATGAACAAACACTTGGAGAATGCATTTAGTGCTTCTAGTACTGCTCACTTAGAATGTTATCACATATAACTGAGTTGATATTTAAGCAGCTTTCTGATTACCTGAATAAGCATAGGGATAAGACATTTTGATGGAACTTATTTAAGTAAATGCTTGGAATTTCGTATGACTTATTTTCCTTTTCTGCACTTGTTATATGGTGTCTACCTCAGGCGTTCTGGCCACAGATGCTCTTCCTTTTTAATAGTCACTACAGGCACCTGCACTTTCCAACAGCTGAACTACCTCAGGGGGAGGGTATATACTGAGAGGTCCAAAACAAAGATGAAGGATTGTAGGCTCAGGCTAACTCTCCTTCTAGAAAAAAAAAGTGCTAGAAGGATTTATTAGTGACTAGGCAGCAGTCACTAATACATACTGTTACTAGTACACCCATTTAAAGATGAAGAAACTGAGGTTCAAAGGAGTAACTAACTTGTAGTCTGACCTATGGTGCAAAATGCCTGGAATTACAACTGCATTTATTTTGCCCAGCACTGCTCACGGCATTTCGTATAAATTACCCTGTTTGATTCACAAAGGCTCAGTGAGTTTGAGCTGGTAAGTGACTCAGGAACCCAGGCCTGCCAGCTCAGTGGCGCTATCCTTCCCACCCCTGCTTCCTGGAAATGAGGACGAGATTGGTCATTTATTCTTTCTGGAAAAACACTGGGGAAATTTAACAAAACCCACCAACCTCACACAGCCTTTTCCCATCACACAGCGCTTCACTGTGCTTGACAATTCTGTGAAGATAGCTTTAGAATACTCAGGGTGCCACCCTGTGACTCCTGAAAGGGCCAGCCCTTGCACTCATTACCACTGCCCACTGTGTATCAGTCTTCGGCCTGGTCTTATCTTTGGCATGACCTCTGTGTGGCTGCAGAAGGCACAGTGGAGACAGAGCTGGAACTGGCCAATGGCCTAATATTTTCCAACGTTTTATTTGTTGCTGTTTCCATGAGCTATGTTTAACCATATTCCCAATACAAGATGCTATCTGTTCACGGGCAAAGCACAGCTAAGAAGGCAGTGCATTGTGAGAGTCCGGTACCTTGACCCCCACCCTGTCACCTGTGCCACCACCAGTGTGCTTTGCCAACAACCGCGGGGCCCCTGCCTTCTTTGCATATCTGAATGCTGCAGCCTCTGCCCACCCCGTACCTTGATGGCTTCCACCGAGTCATACTTGTCCAGTTTGTTGATGTGGTTGGTGATGCTGGTGTTGAGCGGGGCTGGCGCGATGGGGTGGATGACTGTGGCATCGTGGGATTGCTGCTGGTACCGCTGGCAGTAGGTGTAGACGAGGAGCGTGAGCAGGCAGCCCAGGATGGAGCTGCTCAGCCCCACAGCGACCATGTGGAACATGTTGAACTCTGGGAAGACAGCATGGAAAGTGATGCTACGCCGATAAGGAACCTGCTACAGAACAGCTTAGTGCTTTGGTGAAAAGAGAATGATGAAATGGAAAGCCCCTTATCTCTTCAACATTAAAGACGTCAATATGCCAATTCCTTCGAAATAGCATGGCCCCCAAAAGAATTATCAAGGAGAGCCAGTATATTTTAAATCAATGCATCGTAATCAAGACTTTTGGAGGTCACCTTCATGCACCAGCAGAAGCTTGTTTAACTTTTTAATGTAAAGCTTATAGACGAATGTGCTTCAGTTTCAAGTGCAGCTCGCTCTCTAGTCTACGGGGATTCTAGGAAACATATGCTTCAGGCTCCTGGACAGGCAGGTGTCTCTCCCACCAAGAGAGTATGTGTTGCCAGCTTCTAGCATTGCTCACCTGCCAGCCAGACTCTCTCCCCTTCCCTTTATTTCATTTACTTGAAAATGCATTCCACTTACATAATGCTGATGTTTTCTTCATTGTATTTTTATTATGAATATAAACACATTATATAACATCAGAAAGTGTAACAGGGAATACACACATACAAAGTTTTGTTCTTTCCTAGGGACTACTACACCACTTTCTGGTGTGCTGTTTTGTGTGTGTGTGTGTGTGTGTGTGTGTGTGTATGTGTGTGTATGAGTGTGTGTATACACACGCACACCCATATATATTTTCCTGAGTAGCAATGTTTTTTCCACTTACATTGTATTTCAGAGACCTTATAAAGAAAGTAGAGATTTTACAAAGAAATAAAGAAGCATGGCCAGCATGGCTTAGTGGTTGAGCGTCAAGCTATGAACCAGGAGTCAGGGTTCGATTCCTGGTCAGGGCACATGCTTGGGTTGCAGGCTCCATCCCCCGTGTGGGGCATCCAGCAGGCAGCCGATCAATGATTCTCTCTCATCATTGATATTTCTCTCTCTCTTTTCCACTCCCTTTGACTCTGAAATCAATAAAAGTATATATATAAAAAGAAAAATAAATACATAAATTGGTCTCTTTATATTAAAAAAAGAAATAAAAGATTTGTGTCAAAGGAATAAAATATGATCTTTTAATAGTCATGAAATGATCCTCTTCTTACATTTTTTTAAATTTGATAGAATCAGAGTTATTTTCCTTGAGTTATGAGTACAAAGGCATTGGCAAAGTGAGTGGGCGTGGCTTTATGACTGTGATAGCACTGGCTTGAGTGACCTCAAGGTAACATAAGCAAGACCTGAATAAAGTTTGAGACACAACAACAAAGATATTCATGGTGTGTTTGCAAAACACTTTACAATGAACGTTTTGAGACTGCACTCAACATGTGGGCAGAGCTGGTGAAGCTGGGCTTAGGGGAAATTAGGCAAAACAGAACTGACCTGCCTTTTTCTGCTGGGTTGGCCCCATGTGGCTAGCCAGTGGCCTGTGGATTACTGGCCTTACATATTCCCCTTGCTTTCCCCCAGAGTGTCCCTGCCACTGGCCACCAAAGGATGCACTGTCACACATGCTCACACCTCCCCTTCCCTACCTGTTCACCAGGCCCCAAAGGGAACTAGTGGCGGTGCCTGCTGGGCACCACTGTCCATTCCAGATGGGTCTGCAGAGCCATGACACGAAGCCCTCAGGGCCCTCGGGAGAGGAGACCCACAGGTCTGCCTCCCACACCCAGGTGCTGGAGTACTTGCACCGTAACCACCCAGGCTCCCCACCAAGGATGTTTCAAGCAGACTTCACCTCACCTACAATATGCAGCAGATGCTGAATATTTCTTGCCTGTCCCCAACCTCTGACTTTTGTCTCCAAGCTGTTTCCAGGATCCTAAGAGATGGATCCTTTTCCCGGGGGGGGGGGGGGGGGGGGGGGTAGACACTGTGCTGAGGCTGCCTCCTCGGTTCTCTGTAAGCACAGCTAACAGGCTCCTACCTGCACTGAGACTCCAAAGACATGACCTCAGTTTTCCATCCACTTCAGGTTTTCACTTGGTTATCTGGCCAATGGTGTGACAAAGTGAAAGGACTCCATTAACCTTTGGCTTTTCCTGATTTTGTCTGGGACAGTTAGATGAAGCACCGAGGACACTCCCCCGCACCCATTTCAGGTGCTGCTGTAACACAGAAGCTGTGGGTTTCACAGTGTTGTCATGGCTTTATATTTTAGGGTTCAGACTCCCTGGGGTTGATGCCAGATTCGGATGTAAGTACTCTCTGCCACATGGATAACGTATTTTATGATAACACATGGAAGATATAGGGCTCCATCCGTATGCAGATACTTCATCGTTAATCACATGAATCATTCCCACAGGTGCCTGGGAAAGGCTGGGGCCACTGACATCTTTATGACGGTTATACAGTCTGTGTGTCACAGGCAACCAAAAATAGCTCTCTAAGATGAAACATTTCAAAAGACTCACATTTTTCTGCATAAAGGAAAAATAGTGCCCATTAAATCTCTTGAATTTGCTTAGTTTGACTCTCTGCTTTAAATATGCTTTTTTTGGCTGGGATTTTTGGGCAGCAAAGCTGGAATAGAAACCAATTGCCCAGTGGATTCAACTGCCTGATTTCCTGTGCAAAATGTGATTGACTTTTTGCAACACGCTAAAAAAAGACATCAATGTTATCTCCCTGAACATCCTTGTGACGTTATTGTTTTTACATATCAGCCCAACAATCAAATCCATTTGACCTCTTACCCAACTATTCTGGCATGTCAATGTCGGCAGCCTAAAAACTTAGTTTTGGGAAGATTTCAACCAAAGAACTTGTATGCATATATGCCTAACCCATGGGCACAGATAATAGGGTGGTGAAGGCCCAGGTTGGGGGTAGTAAGAGGGCAGGCTAGAAGGGGTCAATGAGGGGAGAAAAGGGAGCATATGTAATATGTTCAACAATAAAATAAAATTAAAAAATCACTTAGTTCTGAAGAGTGCAGAGTAAGTAAAGTTTCTATGATTTATTCAATAGCACCTAAGGTTTAATTCTAGGTAGCCATTTGGCACACCTGGCTCAGACACACAGAAGCAGCATTTTAGGACACGAATGGGCATTGCATGATGTTTTAGGACTAAAAGCCTTGGAAGGACTCCCCTCCCTTTACACCAAAAGGACAGGCGAAGGACAGTGGTTTTCAAACTTGTGGCTGATGAGCACAGACTGCCAACTATGCAGAGACATCAACTGGTGGCCTCCCTCAAGACAGGAGCAGTCCCTACAAACATCACCCACTCTGGACCTTCACTGCCTCGGAGGGCAGCAGACATCCTGCACGCTGGGTGTTGTCTAAGCGTGTCACCTGACCAGGACTGCTGTGGCTCCAGTCTCCAGACACAATCCTCCTGGCCCCTTTTCTTGGTGCTCCAAGTTTTGAGTTCACTGCAACCCCACTGCCTGGATCTGACCTGGGCTCCACAGCTAACTGCCTGTGTGAACGTGAACTTCAACCAAGGGTCTCATGTCTCTGACCCTCACAATCCATAAAATGCAGATAAAAACCCATGACTGATCATTTTCTACAATTCCCTAAACCAAAATCTCTGAAAAGTGATTTCTCATCAGTTACTTGGCAACAAAGCATGGCCTGACCTGCCCGTTTGCTACAGAACTGACCAGAACCGCCAGGAGAAGCATTAGCATATTCAGTTCACCCACTTGTCATGGCAGCATCACTAAAGGAACAGGTTACAAAGTTGGTCTGGGGCATTATGTAATATCCAGTACATGCCCCATATGACCCATCTACATTCTGGAAAGTGTTCAATTCCAAAACCCTATTTCCAATTCTTCCTTTTACATCAAGAATTGTGGACTTTGACACCTAAAAGAATGTTCTTTGTGAGGATCAAATAGGATCCTTCTTGTCATTTAATACGATATCTGGCATGGAGTAGCTGATCTCAGAATATTAGGGGATTCTCATGATTAGTTTTATATAAAGTGGCTTATATTCATCTTCCAGCTGGATCCCAAGTTAGTGACTCACAGTCTGTGGACTCAATAACCAGACACAGATGAGGCACCAGACATTGACCCTCTGAGGATATGATTGTCTACTTGCTCCAGGGGGCTCTTTCAGTCCACTCAGAAAACTAGCACAGAGTGGGTACTCAGCAAAGATCACTGAGTGAATGGGTTACAAGATGGCTGAATAAGCAGAAAGCGAACTCTTATTAAATGTAGTTAATAATGGTAAGTGCATTCCTAAGATATGCCTAGAAGCTCCAGATTCCACCTGAGCATAAAGTGAGTTGCCTGGGACTTTCCTAGAGGATGGATTACAGTAGGGGTGGTTATTAATAGGTCATTAGTCTATGGACACACACATACAACAAGACTGTGTTGCTGTTGATTGGCAAAGGTGGACAGGGACTGGGCTTGGATATACAGACAGTCAACCCCTCCCTTCCAGACAAAATAGTCATACACAGCAGAGTCTAAATTCATCACAGACTTGAACCAGAGAATGTTGATTTTTGTCATTCAGGGTTCCGGGAAGTTTAACATGTTCCTTTAGAGTTATACCAGTAGAATCTTATGCCCCCTTACAATTTTGTCATTCCAGCAGTCTGAAGATTTGAGGTTGGCTGTCAGGATTTATAAATATAAACAAACTGTTGGAATACTGTTTTACTCATGGGAACTCTAATATCTATATTTAGTACTTAAACAGTATTAAGGTATCAAGATCACAGATTTTTAAAGCTTAGCATTCACCGGTCATCTGAACAGGCTTATTAAACCACAGAGTGCCCAGTCCCATTCAAACAGGCTCTAATTCTTCAGCTCAAGGTGGGGCCTGAGAATCTGTATTTCTCTCAAGTCCCAGGTGATGCTGATGGTGCTGACCCGGGAACCCCACTTGAGAACCACTAATCCAAATGTCAAATACTGACTCTCAGCATGTATACTACCGAAGCAGAAGGTGTTTGGGATCCAGGAATTTCTCCAGTCTGTTATAGTTTTTTTTTTTTTTTTTTTGCCAAAGGCAAAAACATAGAAACATTCTTTGGCCAAAGAGCAGAAAAATATCAGAAATCAATTAGACTATAGTTAAAAGGAAGAACTTACCCCCACACCTTTTCTCTTCTACGCTACTGGATCTTGCCACAGATACTTCTGGAAAAAGAAAAAAAATCCAATCACAATGTGTAAAGGGCATTGGGAAGAAATATTATATCAGTGATTCATTTACAAAACGTCCAATGATACTGAGTTTTATGTGAGCCAAAGTTCCAAAAGCCTGATTTTTTAAAGTTATATTTGTTTCTTTGTTCAACCAACTTGAGCTGCAGTTGGTCCAGGTCACCTTGATTGGGAAGGGGTGAGATTCATTAGCACAGATAGAAAGTGCAATGGTCCCCTGAGCTAGAGCCAGGGCACCAGCTTCAAAAGGAGACCAGAGAATGAGTGAATTTTTGGTGACAATGCATCCTGCCGGCTGTGGAGCCCACAGTGTTGGCCTGTGGTGTTCCTGCCTCAGGTCTTTTGTTTCATCAAAGCCATGTTGTCACATTCCCTACAGAGGGGACTGATCATCCGGAGCTCCAAGGAAATGGCCAGAACAATAAGTCCCTGTTCAGAGCCCATTGATGCTCGCTAGGCCACAATGGGAGACACCATTGTGAGGAGAAATCCACCTGCGCAATGAAACACCATTGAGATACCAGAAACATTAATCTTTCCATATTGATTTTTCCTTAGGTACCAAGAATTAAAAATACATCTATGATTAAAAAGAGAAACAACAATAAACATTGCAGCTTTATGACTAAAGTGCCCTACAAGGCTAAAGCTTATACTTTTCTCTAAAACATTATCTCTTCGCCAAAACCGGTTTGGCTCAGTGGATAGAGCGTCAGCCTCTGGACTGAAAGGTCCCAGGTTCGATTCCAGTCAAGGACATGTACCGTGGTTACAGGCACATCCCCATTGGGGGGGTGTGCAGGAGGTAGCTGATCGATGATTCTCTCTCATCAGTGTTTCTAACTCTCTTTCCCTCTCTCTTCCTTTCTGTAAAAAAATCAATAAAATATATTTAAAATAAATAAATAAAACATTATCTCTTCCATAAATGGAGGAAGATAAGCTATTACCTACTATTGCCTTGTTAAAGCTGGTCTCTGCTTTGGTCCATGTCTTAGTTTTAACCCACACAGTAGGCATGTGTGAAATGATATGTCAGTATATACACCAGACCTACAGTATAGTGTGCAGGTGACAGGTGATCACCTACCACTAAGAACTCGATTTGACATGGAACAGGCAGTGGCATAGATTTGACATAGGAAAGGCAGTGGCAAGAGGGCCAGACGCCTCTTCTCCAAGAGCCATGATGGGGTCCCCCTTCCCAAGTACACTAAGTTTTCATAAAGAAAATGGTCCTTCTTCTCCGTGCACGCACATGCACACAAGCATTGACAAAACATTTTACCTAATAATTAAAATAACCAAATGCACCACTTGCATTTTTGGGGCAAAATCTTCACATGTGTTATAGTCAATAAATTGTAGAAATAACACTGTGCTTAAAAATGTCTGTGGTTGAAAAATCTTAAAATGCATAGGCTAAATTTAAGTCTAAACTTGCATCTATCTATAAACCTACACTTTAATCATCGTGAAAATTCAAGAATTGGCAGAATCATCTGTTTCACCAAAAGGGACCTCAAAGGACAGTTACAACTCTAAAGGAGGACTCATTTCCACTTTGAATGCGGGCAGTGAACTTGCTCTCACTCTGCCCTTACCTGGGATGAAATTGGAATCAAATATACATGGCCGGCTCTCTGTGCTGTTTCCGGAACACTGGCTGCCCACGGGGAACAGAAGGATGCACTGGCGGGCGCGGACCTGGACTCCAGACACATCACACTCCGACCAGTCTGACCACTCCGACCAGCTCTCTGCAGTGACCAGAAGCAGGGAGAAGAGGCAACAAGATGCACTAAGATTAATCACCCTGGAAGCACTGTCATGTTACATGTGTGACTCTATGCCCTCCTATCAGCTTTAATGGGCCTGTATATAATTAAAATGTACTCCTATCTTCTTAAAAGTCCAGTAGATAAAATACACACGTGCATGAATAAAAGAACTGGTATACCACAGACCTGAAATAATATGCTAGAATTACATTTGCTGAAACCACATGATTTGAATGCTTTAGTGATTGAATTAGACGCTCAATAAGCTAATCACTGATGTCCAACAGTGCACAGGCCGCCAGTGGCAAGGGAACAGAAATAATCAAGGCAGACACTATTTCCATCAGGGCAGTGCTCCTCTGCTAAGTGCAGCCCTCACAGGCTTTCCTGAGAGACTCCCACAGGCCTCAGCACTTGGGCAAGAGAAACAGGGGCATCTATGAGAAAGCCCAGTTGCTGAGCTCCTGAGAAATCTACAATGTAAGCGTTCTCTTCTCTTATAAAAAACAATTCTGCAGAATCAATATCCCAAAGCCAGGCTATCTTTGAGGCAGAATTCATCTTGTCCCGTGTTTGCTCATAAGATCGATGCACAAGTCTTGGGTGAAGGCCAAGAGTTGAGTGATAATAGGACCCTTCACCCTGAAGTGTAAGAGTTGCCAGGATGTGTTACATTTGCCCAGGCCTGCAGACGGGGGCCAGAAAAACACTCATATTTGAAATAAGGAGGTTACAAAAATGAACTCTTAATATTATTTATGAAATATTAATCAACATAAAAGCATTTTTTCTATGTAGTTTGCTTTCCCTCTCTTTTTAAATGCAAGCATTATCTTTGTAGTTCAGAAAGTTTAGAAATAAAGCTTGTGCCTTGACCCAATGGGAAGAGAGATCCATATAAAGGGTACAATTTTCCCTTAGAAATGTGTCAGTTTTCAGAATGACTATAAGAATTTGGGTTTTAGGCACTTTTCAATACACATGGAATATTCTAGAAAGAAATGCAAAAACAAGTTATTAAAAAAAAAAAAAAAAGTAAAACTGTTTCAGTGTCAAAGTTAGGTGTCATCTTCATTCCAAGTCATTCCAAGTCAGAAGGCGAAGCTAATTCCAGATGGGGAGACTGGATGACACATCCAGGGGGCACCAGTGTCAGCCAGCCTCAGAGTTCGGTACCTCTATGCTCCCCACCTTGATTCTCAACCACACAATCTCAGATTTAATTAGCTGAGATTAATGAAATATTTTGCAAAGGCTTTGTCATAACCGGTTTCAGCTACTCGTTCTGAAACTATGCCAGGTTGAGAACCATTTTATTGCAGAACATGTGTTATGAAGTCAGTTCCAGGTGGCAGGGTGGCAGATGGGTGGTAGTGTTCTCCTCTTTCAGTACCGATGATGTAGCATCAGCAATTCATCATTTCTAAGTCAAGGAGAGGGCTACGTGTGTCCCAACGTCCCACCACTCACCGGGGCAGGGCTGCGTGTTGCAGAGCGCCTCCTCCGTGTGCAGCCCCAGGCAGATGTCCCCGCCATAGGCTGGCGCTGGGTTTGTGCAGGAGCGGGTCCTCATGTAGTGTCCACCGCCACACGTCGCTGAGCATTTGGACCAGGAGGACCAGCAAGACCACACGCCATCCACTGGGGAAAGACACAAAGTCAAGCTGCTTCTAAAACGCAAAGCTGACCAAACCGATGAGGCTGCAGATAGGGTGCAGGCAGGACCATATCCGAGAAGCCACTTGACCATGCACAGTAGGGTGGTTAGGGATCTTCCTGTTTGAGAGAATCTGTTTTGCATATTCCTCCCTTCACAGTTTTGGATCCTCTGATTTGTCCCTTCAGGAAATCTCTCTAAACATAACATGTAAGCGTGAGGATGACAGAGGAGTACAGTGTATGCAACAGAAAACCCCACATCCCTGGAAATAACCTTGAACCACATTCAGCTGTGATGTATGTGACGCCTTCACTTGCTCTCACCTTTGCTAACCACTCAGTTGAGTTGGCCAGAGGAGGCTTATAGCCAAGGACAGGCAGTTCCAGTCACAGCCTTCCTTACTAATGGGATTATAATATGCTCCAGGACAGAGACATAAAGAAAGGGTAACAGGTCCTGTGAGGAAGAACTGTGGGTTCTTAGATGCAGGCACCAAACAACCAAATGAAATCTGAACCATGCAGACTGGACGGTGTGTTTATGTGAAGGACTAAAGAGAGGGCCTGCTACCTGCAGCCAGACTTCAGGTTGGATATGAAGGCAAGGTTTCTAACTCGGACATTAGGCAGAACCGGTTCCTGATGAACCACCACCATGCCTGCCCATGACCCTGAGCCATTCTCCTGTTTTCTCCAGGCTGGGCTCCTGATACCTGTGGAAGGGCCTCCTGAGCACTGGGTCAGCTGACCCACCTGGCTCTCGGTACTCACTCCTGCTTGTTAAACTGAGACCTCACGCTGGCTTCTGTCTGACATTGTCAGATATGATCTGCCATTTGTCTAACTCCCTGCTGATCTGCCCTTTTGTCAGCCAGACCTGCCCTGTTTTATTGAGTCCCAGAGCAAAGCTGCAGGACTTTGTCAAGATGTCATTAGACTCCAATTAGCAAAAGCAATCATAACCACAGCAAACTGCATAAAAAAGCTGATGACAGATTTGCAATATAGAGATAGTATCGTGTTTTATTTCCTCCACATCCTTCATAAAATAAAGCAAAAACAATAAAGGAAGGGAATGCCAAAACCGTTAAAGATATAAGGCTATTTTAGGTAGAATGACCTAGTTTATATGTGAATACACCCATGGTGAATTAATAGATCTTTTTACAACATAATATGTCTCTTTAGATATAGGCAGAAATAAAAATAAAGCATTTTGGGAACATATAAGCAGAAACATCATGTTTATGGTGATATTTTAATTTGCAAAAAAGTAAAAAAAAAAAAAAAAGAGAGAGAAAAAAAATCTTTGACATGGAACTGGGAATTTTGTGATTTTTATACAGACTTGAAGAATTCAACATTTTCCCTAATAGGCAATAAGCATGTCAGAAAGTGAGAATGAATATCTGACATTGGTTATAATACCAGAAAAAAAAAAAGGCTGGCAGAGATTTGCCTAGAACTTTAAACTATTCAAACACCCACTGCCATGTCTATTCTCACTGCAAACTGAGCTGAAGCTTCGTCTCAAGTGGGTATGTGTACACACCCCACACTAAGGCACACATAAGTCAGAGTGCCTCAGAAGAGCAGGTGTCACAGAGCGCAGATGTTTGAATGTGCACAAGGCTGTTTGGGCTCAGTTCCAATGCCTCATCTAGATGGGCGCTGGAACTGGACTTAGAACAACCATGTGGTCTGGAGATCTTGGACTTTGCTACTGCATAGTGAATCTGCAGATCAATGGCCCCTAGGTATATGAAAAGATGTCCAACATTCTTAATAGATGAGAAAATACAAATCAAAATCATAAGGAGATTATTACCGCACATCTGTCAGAATGGCTATTGTCAAAAAACAACAGCTAATAGTAGACAATAGTGTTGGAAAGGATGTGGACAAATCGGAACCCTTGTACCCAGTTGGTGCAAATGTAAATTGGTGCTATGAATAACATAATGGACCAAATGGGGCTAAGGGAGAGTAAATTCATAAGGAGAGTGGTAAAAATAGCCTTGTAACTGGACTCCTCATGGCTGAGCAGTTCTGCACTCAGAGCCCTGAAGGCTCTGACCCCTCCTTGATGAGTTACGTGTCATGTGTTCAGGAATTTTCTAGGAGGTGGGAGAGCGAACTGACATTTGTCCAACTCAGCCCCTCGAATCCACCCACACCCAAGTGGGAATTGAAGAGGGCAACTCTGACTATTTTCACAACCCTCTATGGAATCTTGGCTTTCAGAAAGAAAATGAAGACACAGCTATTTCAAGATATGAAGGTTATATATACATGATACCGTCTTGACCATCAAACTAAAATAAACACAGCCACCAGACCATGCTCATGGATATCTCTGACATGGGCACTGAGCCTGTTTTCAGGGACAAGGCAGCATACTGGAATCTGGAGAGTCTGCCTACTCTGCTGACATCAATGAGGACTCATGTCTAGAGCCTGGGAGGCAAGAGGACATTGAGGGAGCCTGACATTCCCACGTCACCAAGCCTGCTCAGTTACAGCACCGACCCTAATCTAATGATGCTGCCCATGGTCTCCCTCCCAGCCCTGGGGGATGAATCCTCCACTCTCAGTGCTGGGGCTGTGAGAAAATCCTGGCTCTGTGACCTTTCCCAGCCCCTCTGCATCACTTGGCTGGGAAGGCTGGATGGTCTGAAGTCTCCTGAGGCTGGAGAAATTAGGCAAAGACAGCCCAGGAGGCGCAGAGCTGCTGCACGAGCAGGGACATTACTGAGAACCTCAACTACAAAGCTGGGAACTGTGCATTTTTAGTTTAATGTACATATTTATTCATCCATCCATTCATCATTCATCTATTCATCATCCATAGTCCACTATCCATCCATCCATCCATCCATCCATCCATCCATCCATCCATCTATCCATCTCTCATCTGTCCATCCATCCTCTCACTCATCTGTCATCTAAACATCCAACTACTAATTCAATTATCCATCCATCCATGCATCCATTATCCATTCACCTATCCATCACCCATACATTCATCTATCACCCATCCATCCATTGATCTATCCATCCAGCCAGCCATCCACTCATTTTACCATGATCCATCAATCCATCTACCCATCCACCAAATGCATGGCTTCAACCCAGTTTCTTATTCAAAGAACTCAGCAAGTTGCTTATAACTACTGAAAGAGATGCTATACTTTCAAGCTTCTGTATCTTTAAAAACACTGCATCTGGTGTTTGGAATGATCCCTTTCCGCTTTCCCATCTCAGCTTATCTGTTTGCCCAACTCGTTCCAGACTCAGCTCAGGAGCAGCTTGCTTAGGGCAGTGGCCATGATTCTAGCTCAGAGGATCCTTAGCTAATGTAACCACTGCATCTATATCCAAAATATGCAGCCCAATAGCTGGTAACCATACGGGGCTGGCATTATTCCAGGATGCCCTCCTTGCTGAACTCTAGGTTCCTTCTGACCTGCACAATCTCACTGCATCTTTCTTACCCTGTGACTAGTGCATAGTAGGCTATCCGAAAATGTTTGCTGACCAACTGACTGAAGGAAGAAAGATAAAAAACCAACTGCTTGCTTTCCCATCCTTCAACAGTGACTGGTCAACATTCCTAGTGTCAGGCCCGTGCTGGGAGTGAGGACACTGCAGTGAGTGAGTGACACTCTCATCCCAGCCCCTGCCCTCCTGGAGCTTTCACTTTGACTGAGTCAGAGGCAGCACACACTGCAGACCAGCACTCGGATGGCCTGAGGTATCAGACTAGTGCGAAGGTCAGCAGAAGAGATGCACGTGAGAGGGCCCCGCCCAGAGCTGCGGCAGGAGAGGGCAGATATGGCAATGGAGCCTGTGGGGCTGTGTGTGCAGACAAGGCCCTGTCCAGGAAGACAGAGGTTCCCAGGACTCTTTTAGCTCCTTTTATGCACTCGGCGCTTCTTTGGGAATATTCCAAGAAGTGAAAAGCCAGGTCTCAGGAGGAAGACCCAGACACACAGCTTCCAAGAGGGAAGAGTGAGTGTTTAGAGACCCAACTTAGGAAAAAGTGGACTCCTGAGCTGACCAAGGCATCTTGGTGGGTCACCTTTGATAACTATTCCCTGGAACAGGAATCTGTGGTGAGCAGTAGCCAGTTCAGGGCCGGGCCCATCAGAGTCTGGGTGGGGGCCAGGCCCCACTTTCAAGAGGAGCCTCTCTCCTAACCATGGCAGCAGGGCTGGCTTCTCCACCAGGCACAGTGCCTAGGGCCAACCATGCTCACAGGTGCTCATGAGGAGGTTTCCATTTCTTGTAAACTGAAGAAATACATGAATATAATGCAGCCTAGGTTCTATCTGTTCTTATGCCAATGCTGTTGGAAGATATAATCTGTGGTTTATATAGTTGTATGTGTATGTCTGTATAGGCAGGCATACCTCATTGTATTGTACTTTGCTTTATTGGGATTAGTTGAAGGCTAGACCCTCCACCAGCAAGATTACAACATGCTGAAGGATCAGATGATGGTTAGCATTCTTAAGCAACGAAGTCTTTTTAAATTAATATACGTGCAATGTTTTTTTTTAGACCTACTGCCATTGCTCACTTAATAGACTATAGCATAATGTAAACATAAATTTTATATGCACTGGGAAAACAAAAAATGCCTGTGAATTGATTTATTGCATTATTTGCTTCATTGCAGTGGTTTGGAACTGAGCCCTTAATATCTCCAAACTATGCATTTCTCTTTCTCTCTCGTGTGTAAACATAAAGCCAGGGAAGCCAGTGGAGCCTCCCCGCCATCAGAAGGTTTGCCAAGGCCCTTGATTTTTCTCAGATTCCTCAGTCCACTTACCTGGGCAGGGCAGAATGTTGCACTCCTGGTATTCCAGGGACGGGCCCAGGCAGGGCATGCCCCCATACTTGGGCTCAGGGTTGTTGCAAACGCGCTTCCGGTTCCGAATGCCCCTGCTGCAGTCTCGGCTGCACTGGGACCACGACGTCCAGGCTGACCAGGCCCCGTTGACGGTGTGGGCAGAGTATCTCCCGGCACGCATGAAATCCCCAGACAGACCTGCCAAGGGAAAGGCGAAGGTGTCAGTCCTTGAAGTGCCCAGAGTCTAACTTGCCTTGTGTATCTGCGGCCTGCTTTGTTTCTGTAACCACACCCTCAATTTTAGCAGAGCGCTTCTTGCACTTCAAACCCCAAATCAAAAGAAGAAGCAGTGGAGAGCTAACCTCTCGTCACTCACGGGTCTTTCTCTGCAGTTCTTATTAGGTTACAGGTGCAAATAAGAAATCACTTTGTGAATGGGGGGAGTCCTCACACAGGCTCTAGGCCTTGCATTTGTAGTTCACTTGTTTTTCTGAGAAACTTTTTACAAAGAAAACACAAGTTTCTCACTTCCCTTGGGAGTTCCTCAACACACTGCCCTTGGACTCACTATCAAGAATATGGTCTGGCCCTAACTGGTTTGGCTCAGTGGATAGAGCATTGGCCTGTGGACTGAAAAGGTCTCAGGTTCAATTCCAGTCAAGGGCATGTACCTGGATTGTGGGCACATCCCCAGTAGGAGGTGTGCAGGAGGCAGCTGATCAATGTTTCTCTCTCATCAATGTTTCTAACTATCTATCCATCTCCCTTCCTCTCTGTAAAAATAAAATAAAATATAAAATAAAATATATTTTTAAAAATTAATAAAAGAATATGGTCTGTAAGAAGAACTGATTCAGACATTTTTTAAACCTAGTCCTTTCCATGTTAACCTTCACCAAGTGAAGTAAGACTGGTGAAAGGTGTGTAGATCATGCATCTGAATTTCAGTCAGTGGAGACACGTGTCTGTTCCAGGTCCCTGCAATGGGGCTGAACTCACTGCCCGGAACCCAGCATATTCCTGCATGACCTATTCCTGTAGCAAATGCTCCCATGAAGTTCAGAGCCCACTTACTAGCAAAACATCCTTCCCCAAGAACAAATGTATACACGGAGGCAGCAGCAATCAATAGTGGGGGTGAGGGTCGGGAGTTGTCTTGTTAAAAACAGTCTCTGAAACCTGTGGGTCAGGTCTGCTCCCAGCACTTTGCACTTAGTAACTCATTTAATTAGCCACAGTCAGAACTCCTGTGCATTTAACTGAGCATGCCACCCACGTACAATACTAGAAAACATTCAGTAATTTTCTCAAATGTAGGCAGAATGACAAAGATTGACCAAAAAGTCTCTAAGTATGCACAAAGTTCTGGTTAAGTGTGGAAGACAAATGCACCAACAGTTCTATCCATTGTGACATAATCTTGTTTATTTAAAAACTGAATCAGAAACCAAGGCAGGATGCTCTTTGGAGAAAATGGATTAGAAATGTCTTGCTGTGACGAACCAGTACTTTGTGGCTAATCAATAAAGGACAACTATTCACAATTAAGCCTCATCTTGTGTGGTCAGAGGCAAGCAAGTCCAATTTTGTATTTCCAAGATATCAATACCAAAAACGTGTGGATGCTCTTTAGAACCTGAAGCCATTAAGACACAAGAAAGGAAGTATTTTTAAGCCATGCCCAGGGGACACTTTGGGAGGGAATATAGACTGCTTCATAATAGTGTAGTAAATTTATCCTTAGTTTATAGTACTAGCATTTAAAACAAACATTAGCTTTGGTTTTGTATGTATCTGAGAATAGAAGAAAAACAAAATCTATATCCAGAAAAGAGAATAAAGTTAATATATAGAAAAACAGTTACTCCTTTTCTCTTTCTTTCTTTCTTTCTTTCTTTTTTTCTTTCTTTCTTTCTTTCTTTCTTCTTTTTTACTTTGGTATCCTAAAAATTAAGATAGTTCACAAACAGCTCTGAAATAAGTGAATACGTGAATGGTGTTTATTTGTTTTATTTAAATTGTAGACTTATTCACACAAAACTCTCTACTAAAGCAGTTTTCTCTTTTTCCAAAGAAACAAGAAGCAAGCTTGTTGGTTGCTGAACAACATTAAGCAGCATGGTTTGAGGTGAGGACAGAGTTATGTCATTAGCTTAGATAGTTAATGTCAGTAAAGCAGTATGACAGAAGCGGCTGCTGATGGCCTTCCCAGCACCCAGGCTGGTAGCGCTAAGAGGCATGGAGTTCTGTGACGTGAGCCTTGGTGGCCCTAACTCACAGCCACTTGTTTAAGAGCTTCCCTTGGGCCCTAATTGGTTTGGCTCAGTGGATAGAGCATCTGCCTGCAGACTGAAGGTTCCAGGTTCAATTCCGGTCAAGGGCATGTACCTTGGTTGTGGGGACATCCCCAGTACGGGGTGTGCAAGAGGCAGCTGACCGGTGTTTCTCTCTCATCGATGTTTCTAACTATCTTTCTCCCTTCCTCTCTGTAAAAAGTCAATAAAATATATATATGTATATTTTTTTTAAAAAATAGCTTCCCTTGGGCAGTGCGGGAGATTTCTTGCACCTCCAAGAATTTATTCCACTTGCGTCAGTCCAAGGTGGTGACTCACCAGCTCTGTGGTTCCTTAAGGCCAGCCACCTTGAGTCTGAAGCTCTTTCTGTAAAAATTACCTTGATGGTGACTGTGCTTTCTCTATCACACTCATGTTAGGAGACTAAGAATTATAAACACAGATGTGCTGGGAAATATGAAGAGATGGTTGGGTGCAAGATATCATTACTATTGCTGTTTTCGCCAAACCATGCTGTGAGGACCCATCTATGGGCACGGGTTTTCTTTTAAGACTTGGCCAGATTGTGTGACATTAGATGAGAATGGTAGAAGAGATGGAGAATGATGCAGAAATGCCCAGGCAGAGTGTGGATTTTCTGGTCCACCCCAGAGCTTACCCCATTCAACTAATGTCATTGATGAGATTTATACAAGCACAAGGGACAAATTTATTTCAAAGACTATTAAAGGGTTCTCATGTGCTGCATTCTTTTATTAATATAATTTTATTGATTTCAGAGAGGAAGGGAGAAGGAGAGAGAGAGAAACATCAATGATGAGAGAGAATAATTGATCGGTTGCTTCCTACACATCCCCTACTGGAAATAGAGCCCACAAGGCAAGCAGGTGCCCTGACAGAAAATCTAACAATGGCCTCCTAATTCATAGGTCTACGCTCAACCACTGAGCCATGCTGGCTAGGCACACTTAAAAAAAAATTATATATATATATATATATATATATATATATATATATATATATAGAGAGAGAGAGAGAGAGAGAGAGAGAGAGAGAGAGAGAGAGAGAGAGAGAGAGAGATTTCTGTTTCCTTTGTCCAATTTTGAGATAAATAAAATAAAGGCTTATTGCAAATTTTAGTGCCAAAAGAATTGTGGAAAGATCACTGACCATTCCATAATATTTTCTGATACTAAATAAATCTCTCACAAACTACTGTGTCCTTGCTATAAATATAGTGTTATTTTGAAAGCTGAATTCATGGGACCATCTCAATATGTAACTACATTTTTATAGTAAGGCTGTTTTCTATCAATTTGCTATACAGCCAGTTCTGCTTTAGAGGAATGTGTTGTTAGAAAGATTGCTAAGCCATAAGTCATTGAAAGAAAAAATACCCCCTCGATCTTCTCTGAAAGTAGAGAAAAGATCACATGCCTGTCCATGGAAGTGGGCTAGACCAGAGGAGCCCCCACTCACCATCCGTGGAGCAGCCGCTGGTCCCATCGCTGGAGCAGTACCGCATTTCAATCCTCTGTCTTCCCACTTCCAGCAAGTTTGGATCGGGGAGGCGGGCTTTGCACGTGTACCGAAATCGCTGCTCATAGTGGCCACCGTTGTCAGAGATATTGACAGGCGTCCAGGGTGTCCAGGGAGTGGTCTTCTTCAGCTCAGGGCAGGGGTTGGTATTACAAGGCTGGTACTCCTGGGAGAGAAAAGGCATGGGCTGTGCTCAGCACACACCATAAATAGAGCCAGGCATCTCTCCAGCTAAACCAGGATTCTATAACACTTGGTTTCTTAATATGCCCATCAGGTACTCTACAAAGTTAAAGCCTATTTTGGTTACATTAGGCATTTAGGAGGATGTTCTGTTTGCAAGGCAACTCCAAAAGGATCTGCACAACTTCTCCTGCGTCAACAATGGACATGAGAAAATGGATATAATTATATGTGAATAAAAATCATGATTGCCATAATTCATCTTGCTTTCCCTTAATAATTGACCAAAGGCTAATTATTCAGATGTTAAATTTAGGTGTCTTATCTATAAGATTAAAGTTAACATGATGGAACCATTACCTGTTTTTTGAACCACAGTTTGTTCAGTTTGCGATTAATGGGTATTTTAAGCTCCGGAATAACAGATTCAAAGTGACAGACTAGCAGGTATCCGAATGATATTGACCTTTAGTGGCTAAGAGTTTTTCACCAGATTTCCCTGGTTAATATCTCAGGGGCACTTGTCAGTTTCTCCTCCCTTTCCTCACTACCAGGTTTCTCCCTGGCACACAGGTTGGAAGGTCCTGGGAGCTGAGCAGAGAGATCTGAAGGTTTGGCACAGTGAGTGCTGGGGGGTTGGAATTTAAGGCTACAATTATGAAAATTAATCCAAAGCATTAAAATAATTATTTGGCAAAATGTTTAAACTCTATATCCCCAGAAATAGGGCCAAATATAAGAGGTCTGACTTTGGTCAGAGAACAACATGGAGATTCCTCCCTTTGAAAACAAAGGATGTTTCATTAGAGGGAAAATCCACAACACAAAACACACCACAATTCTAAAATGACATTTGTCCATATTAAACATACATATAAGAGATAAATTGCTCTCTAAGCTGTATTATAAAACAGAAAACTGTTCCATCCTTCCCCATCAATTTTTAGTTAAGCATTTTGATATGTAGTCCATAGAACGAATAATAAATTTTTCACCAGGCACTGTCCATTCACTGTGCACTATGGAAAATGAAGATTTAGCCCTTAACTTCCCACCTCCCTCCCTGCATCTTCAACACCAATGCAGTCGCATCTTCCATCATCATCATCATCATATTACCAAGCTACACTTTGTTAGGTCAAAACGCAGTGTTTACTCTTAGCACCAGGAGAGCACTATCTGCACCTGAGTGCTGAAAACCACCATCAATTTCTGTCTCTTGTGCAGTTCCCTTCCAATCCCAGTTAAGGGCTCATCTGTTTTGAGGGGTAGTTGTTTAGGGTCTATGAGCATGTCATTACTTCACCCCTGTCATGTAGTCAGACATAGTAAGAATTGTCTTTGCAGGTTTCTGGTTAGAAAAATTATCCCTTTAATATTTTTACTATTTTATTAGTGAATTTCCAATATGACAGAAAGCAGCCATGTGTGTCCACACCATCAGCTTTACCTGAACATCTACTAAAGTCATGATTTTGTCACTATTCTAATGATTAGGACTAGATTTCTTTGCTCAGAATCTATCTGGGGACAATACTCCAGAGTTCTCTGTGTTGGTGACATCATAGGCTTTTAACAGAAGTAATCACCACGGCGTCTCTGATGTAATACCCTGTCAAGGTGCTGCTCCCATCCACAACAACACACACCAGAAGACAGATGACTGCATTTTTCTCCTTTTACAGCGTCTTTGATCACAGCATCTTTTGGATACTGCCTCCCAAATGAAAAAATAAAAAGCCCCAATTCAGGCCATAAACTCAATGGTGTGAGAAACGAGACAGGACATGTGTGAGCTCGCTCTATTTCACTTAAAATGGAAGCCACATGATAGGAATGCTTTAAACCTCATCTGGTGGTGTGGCAGCACTGTCATCTCCAGATTGAAAATGCCGCTGTCCTCCCCTTCCTGACTCTGTGCCCACCTGGCTGGGCCAGTGGCCAGGCTCCTTGCTGAAATGGACTTAGAGCATATGCTGTTTATGGACCCTTGCTTTAAAAATACAGGTCTTTATTAATAAGTTCAATATTACTTTATGATGGCAGGGGCTACGTGTGCCAGCATAGGCATCACTCAAGGATAAAGAAGGTCAATTCAGTCTCATTAGACTGAAACCCCTGATAACAAAGTCTGTTCTTTTGTTTATTACCTTCTCATAGCACACATTTTAACATGAGATGCAGGACTTTTTTTCTTTCAATTGCTTTTTGAGGTTTCATATGAGGCATTCACTTAAAACATCAAATTATGACATGCTGAGATAATTTTTAAAACAGTAAACTAAAACCATAAGTAAATCACCACAAATTAAGTATTGTAATGGCTAAAACAAAACAAAACCAAAGAAACCAGAAACTTGCCAGCCAGGTGCTGGTGGGCTTCCGAGCAACTGGAACTCTCCCTCCTGCCCCGCTGGTAGGGATGTAAAAATCACACAGTCCCTTTGAAATCTATTGACAATTTCTTAAAAACTTACAAACACATTTATTATATGATTGAGCCATTTCCCTCGTAGATATTTACCCAAGAGAAAAGAAAGTACATGTCTATACAAATACTTGTACATGAATGCTCATAAAAGCTTTATTTGTAATAGCCCCAAACTGGAAACAACCCATATGTCTATCAGGAGGTAAATAGCTAAATATGTCATCTTATATCCAAGTAATAGAACAGACTCGACAATAAAAGAAATGAACTGTTGATATGTGCACAGCACAGAAGAATCTGAAAATAATTATTCTGAGAGAAAGAATCCAACAAAAAGGAAGGACATATAAAATTATGGAAAACGAAAGGTCAGAAAGCAGAGAAGCGGCTCCATGGGACTGAGAAGCACTCAGTGCATGAGGGAGGGTTACAACAGGGAACAAGGAAACTTAGGATTGATGGACATGTCCATTCTCTCGATTCTCCTGGCTTTGGGAGAAGTTAGCTGCCACACTTTGAGAGGGCCACGTGCCTGGCACCTGAGGGCAACTTCTAGGAGCTCCAGTGACCCCCAGCCTAAAGAAAACAGGGACTTTAGTCATAAATTTGCAAAGAACTAAATTCTTTAAACAATCAGAGAGCTGCCAAAACTGGTTTGGCTCAGTGGGTAGAGCGTTGGCCTGCGGACCGAAAAGTTCCAGGTTTGATTCCGGTCAAGGGCATGTACATTGGTTGTGGGCACATCCCTGGTAGGGGGTGTGCAGGAGGCAGCTGATTGATGTTTCTCTCTCATCGATGGTTCTAGCTTTCTACCCCTATCATTTCCTATCTGTAAAAAAATTAATTATATCCATATACACACACACACATACACACACACACACACACACACACACACACACACACACAATCAGGGAGCTGACAAGAGAACCCAGAACTTCAGAGAAGTTTGCATCTCTGGACACTTTGATTTCAGCCTATGAGACAGAGCAGAGCAATCAATTACATGGGCCCAGACATATGACCCTTGGAACTGTGAGATGATAATAAATAAATAAATAAGAGTGTTGTTTTAAGCCACTAAACGTATGCTAATTTTGTTACATGGCACTAGAATATTAATACATACTGATGTAAATGTATATTTGTGTGTATATATGTATATATACACACAAATATACATTTATTCACACACAATATACATACACACACACACACACACACACACACATATATATATATATATATATGAATGTATTCTGCGACCCTGCTTTTCATCCAATACTCCAAGGATTCAATTTATTAGAAGATTCAAATGAAGTTAAATTTTTCTTATGTCCTGACTCCTTTGCCTCTTAGTCTGATCTCCCATTGGCAAGAATTTTCTTTCTTATAAACTCATTATCTTCCTGATATGATATTCCTCCAATTATTTCCCATGAGAAAATTTCAGTTAATTTTTAAAATTACCATTACTTGCTATTAATAATACACAGAAAGTTGTTGATGAGAGTCCCACAGGTTATGTATCAAGTTGAGGTTGGTTGTTAAAATTCATACTTTATTCAAGATGCCTGGTCCCATGCAGAATTTTTTTTTTTTAATTCAGCTATACAGAACTGTGACAAAATATATATGTTGACCATCTATTTGAGTTTCAATTTCACCAATTATATTAAAGCTTTATATTTCTGTCCACTATGTGTATGTGAAGTGTATTGGGTATATACCTTCTGCTTTAAGGGCATAAGCAGACTCTAAGTGGTGTTCTATTCATCCCATAAAAGAGCTTTTCCTAAAGTGTGTCTCTGGGCAGCTCATGATGTGCTTTAGGGAAAAGCATCTGTTGTCAGGAAGGACTGAGGGGCCTTGGGTTCAACAAATATAAGTGGGTTTCCTAAAAGCAAGCGAGATATGAACTGATCTTGAGCCCTTCTCTCAGACCTTCTTGAAAAACCAGAATTGAGTAACTGAGCAGATTGCATATTAGTAAATGCTGTTGAGGAGGATGCTACCTGGAATCAAACAAGCTCCCCCAAAGTGAAAGCAATTTTACTGTTGTGTGACTGATTTACAATCAACTTCACTGACTCAAAACTGAAAATGAGGGTGCGCCCCTGCGGTTCCGAGGTTGTGTGGAAGATCCCCGTCTTCTGCCAAACCTAACCAGGACGTGAAAAAATTAAGATGGAGTCTTATGCTGATAAAATCCTTAGTCCATGCCACATGCTCTATGTCCTTAGCCCATTGAGATGTCCATGTTCTAATGAGGAAGTCCTCTAAAATAAGCCTTCTTCAAGGCTGCTGGTGATGGCTTTCCAGGGAGTGGATGAGGCCTAGGGGGCTGGCACTTCATTAGCCTTTCTTCTCCAGTAATTCCACCTTTGAGCTTATTCCTAAGTTTCTGCTGTGAAACTCTCTGATCATGTCCACGTTTGTGACCTTATGTGATAACCAAGATATCCCACCAAGTCTGTCATGGGGGTCTACTCCCTTCATGCCCATTATCTAGTGCCTCGGATTTCTCATTGATAAGTGGTCATAGAAAGACA